GTTCCCTTGGTCGGCTGATCGACGAGCCACCGCCCGCTCCCTCCACGACCTGATCTCCCACGGCATCACCTCAGTCAAGGGTGAGGTCCAGTGCCGCCGCTGCGATCACCGTGAGGTTATTTCCTACGACCTGCTGCGCAGGTTCAGCGAGGTCGAAAGGTTCGCGCGCGCCCGAGTGCACGTGATGCATGAGCGGGCGCCGGCGGAGTGGATGAGCCCGCCACTGCGGGCTGCCCGGCTGCATGAGGCCGGTGCTGGGCGAGAGGAAGAGAAGTTATAATTGGCTGTTTTTGTTTCTTGGGCAGAGTTTGGGGGTGTGCACGCTGGCACAGCTTAAGTGGTTCTGTAAGCACACGCAGAATCACCGGACCGGAGCGAAGGATAGGGTTTTGTATTTGACGTATATGGCCATTGGGAAGCAGCTGGATCCCGAGGGGGTGTTTAATTAAGATGTGAAATATTAATTGGAATGCGGGGTGTTCTTGAATTAGGGTTTTTATAGGAACCAGGGTTTTCTTAATTTGGTTAAAGATTTTTCTTTTACCTAGCTACCCCTAATTATAGTATATACGCAGTTAGTTCATGCATGACATTGGATGTTCTGCCGGCTGTTGAGTATGTATCTCGACTCTCACTGTCATTTTATGTCTCAAGGATGCAAATCCTCTCCAATTTCGTGGTAATTAAAGAGTCTTTAATTAGTTACCCCACTTTTGACCGTACGTTTCAATTTTAAAGGTTAAGATGCGGCCACATGTGATTCCACTATTATGCCTTGAAAATCACTATTATGAGAACTTTGGTAATGGGATTCAGATTGTAAGCATGTGAAAGATCATTTTTCAATCATAACTAATTTATTATTTAATGAATGATTATGATTTATTTTGATTGAAAAGTGAATACAAATATGACTATCATTTTTTTTTGATTAATTTTGGTAGGACAATGATACAAAAGTACAAATACAGTAAAAGTATTCAAATCATTATACTATATCCGCTATGTACTGATGTACATGCATGGAGTTGAAGGTTAAAAGTATTTTCACAGTAGATTAGAGTACCTACTTAAGACTAATTTAATCATCCAGTACTGACCCAGTACGTATTAGCTTTTCACATATATATTGAGCACTCTAATGAGCATTTGATTCGAGAAAAAAGGGGTTTTTGCATATCTTAAATCCAATAAAGATATATAAACGAGAAGATTTTAAACGTACGCTATATATAGTATAGCTAATCCTTGAGCCATTCCAGGTGAGTCTGAAAACAAAAGAGAACAAATAATTGAAAAAAAAAATCTTTTTCTTTAAAACCATTATAAATCCGATAGTATTCACGTTCCAATTCCATTCATTTGTAGTTCTCAGCATAAAGCTTCGTAACATATAATATTCACTGTATTATTATTGGTTTCCATTTCCACATACAATTTCAAAAGAAATTAATGGGCTTCAACTAATCTTGATAATTAATGTGGCATACCGTATTCAGAGAGTTGGGAGGGTCAGAATACTCTCCGGTAGATATCCGATCAAACACCCACTTGGCAGCAGCCTCAGTGTAATGAACTCCATCCCAGCTCACTCTTTTCAATGGATTCTTACACAAATTTGAGAGAAGATACTTGGTGCCGTCAACATTCTTACCAGTAGCTCCGCACCGAACTCTGGTATCGACGTTGAGTTTCCCACCACCGTATCCGCAACAGGCTGTAAGCGGCTCCTCAAATCCTAATAAAATTCACAGATTAGAGAAGTATTATGCATTTTTCCTCTAACTTGATCGCCATGATGGTTGACTAGTTTAAGTTTTCACGTACGTGCACTGTTTGTGGCATGTTTTTGGAACATTTTTCCTTCTGTGCTTTATATGTATGCTATACTGTCCTTCTTCCTTCCTTTATTTTCTAGAATACGTTAGCTCTTTATCCTTCAGGTCACTTATTAACAATTTCCAACGGTTCATGATATATAGTTTTTTTTTTGACATTTGAAAGGTTTGTGTAATTAGTTTGCGAATCTTACGAAGAAGTTTATGGGGTTTGGGATTCTGTGAAAAAGGCCCCCAAAAGTTGTAATTAGTTTGCGAATTGCACTAAAAAAATAATGCAAGTTCAACTCCATGAAGAGAGTCTGAACCTTTTAGGGATATAACTAGATTTTAACGACCTTCAACTCTTACTATATGTTGAGACAGTGAGATCAACCACAATAAAACTGATACATGTTGAACACCATGAGTTTGCGAGTTAAAGGATCTTACCATACTTTTGGGCCTGGCTTATGAGCAAGTATTTGACAGAGTAGACATCAACATAAGTGAAGGCAGCAAGAGGGAACTCTCTCCTAAGCTCAATTACTGTATTATAGAGCTTTGCATTAAATTGCTGCGCGAGTTTGTTGTAAGGAATCCAGCATCCTGCTGAGTCTAAGTTTGTGGGAGTGAGATTCACGCGAACGAGAAAGAAGGGAAGGCATCCAAGAGGACCTGTGTTGTGAATCCAGAAATTCCTCCCACCAATTTCATATATATTCTGTGCACAAAAGCTTAAACTGTCAGGTTATTTATTACTAATACATGGGGATTTACGGCAGACCCATTCAAAGTACTAAGGTGAGGTAACAAATTACACCCGTTAAATTTTTTTTATCAGCACTAACACCCAGGAAACACACAAAATATTACTTTTTTGCTCTCAATTCACAGGGCAATTTAGTCATTAAAACTGAGGAAAAAGACAGTTTACTATCCCGTGATTCGGTCTCAATCTAACTTGAGAAATATTGTTCTTTGGAGTTAGTACTGCTAACAAAAGAGTTTAGGGATTTGATGTTGTTAGGTTGGGGGTGGATACCAACCTCCGGCGGTGGAGGAGCTCCGACGAGCTCCAGGATGACGCAGGCGAGCTCCGGTTCTCCAGGCGACAGGCGGCGAGGTCCAGGCGACAGGCGGCGAGGTCCAGGCGACAGGCGAGCTCTGCGTTCGCAACAGCTTTTGCGTTCGACTGCCCCCGCAGCTCTGGCGTTCGCCTGCCCCCCGAGCTCTTGCGTTCGCATGCCCCCCGAACTCTGCGTTTGTTTTGGGCGAACCCGATCTTTGCGTCAGGTTTATCCGCTGGCCGACAGGCTGTCGCCACCCCCACGAATCCCCGTCTATAAAAGAAAACCCCATCCCTACGGTTCGGTGCCCGAAGCTTCCCCGCTCTCCTCCGACTTTTTCTTCTGGCGGCTGCCCTAAAATCGCTGCTTGCGATTTTGTTTCTTAATCCCCAGCTCCAACAGTGATTGAAGGGGGCATTTAAAGAAGAGAGAGAGAGAGAGAAACTAAAGAGGTTTTAATTGTGGGGTATTTATTCTCAATGAGAATTGAAAGGGTTCATACCCTTTGATTATTAACACTGTAGCTACAGTGTTTATTTGAGAAATCTCAGTTTTGAGATCTGCTCCTAAATTCGTAATTTCTTGTTTGATTAATAAGAAATTATCTGTGTGGCTCCCGAGGACGTAGGCAGTTGCCGAACCTCGTTAAATCTTGGTGTATTTTTTCTATACTGCGTTTCTGTTGCATTAGGGGTTTCAGCGTTAAATTCCCAACAACTGGTATCAGAGCGTGAAACGATCTAGAGGAAGTCAGATTCAGGTGGGAGCCATGGCCGCAGATGAGGGAAAGGTGAGAATAGAGAAGTTTGATGGATCAGATTTCGGATTCTGGAAAATGCAGATAGAGGATTATCTGTATCAGAAAAATCTGTATCAACCTCTCTCGGGGAAGAAGCCGGAGGGTATGAAGGAAGAAGATTGGAATCTTCTGGACAGAAAAGCCCTCGGGGTTATTCGTTTGACGTTAACCCGCAATGTTGCTTTTAACATTGCAAAGGAGAAGACCACGACAGATCTTATGGCAGCACTCTCAAATATGTATGAGAAGCCATCAGCCTCTAATAAAGTCCATTTGATGAGGCGGTTGTTCAATCTGCGAATGGCGGAAGATGCATCGGTAGCACATCATCTCAATGAACTCAATACAGTCACGACCCAATTGAGTTCAGTTGATATTGAGTTTGATGAGGAAGTTCGAGCGTTGATCCTTTTGTCTTCCCTACCAGAGAGTTGGAATGCTACGGTCACAGCTGTGAGTAGCTCATCGGGAAGCAATAAGTTGAAGTTTGACGACGTTCGTGATCTGGTTCTCAGTGAGGAGATCCGACGGAGAGAGTCGGGTGAAGCTACAACCTCTTCAGTATTGCATACAGAGTCAAGAGGTAAAAGTTCAACCAGAGGAAATGGATCAGATGATAGGAGATCCAAATCCAGAAATCCCAACAGTTCGAAGGCTATCGAGTGTTGGAAGTGCGGGAAAACCGGGCACTACAAGAATCAGTGCAGGAGTGCACGGGAGGAGTGGGAGGCAAATGCAGATGTGAATGTTGCCTCCACCTCAGGAGGAGATGATGCGCTGATATGCTCTTTGGAGAGCAAGGAGGAGTCTTGGGTGTTGGACTCGGGAGCATCATTCCATGCTACTTCTCGATGACTGGAGGATTTCGAAGGGCGCAATGACGATTGCCAGAGGTAGGAAGACTGGTACCCTGTATATGACAGCGGGTGCACGTTGTTCGATCTCAGTTGCGGCAGGCAATGAGACTTCAAAGCTGTGGCACCAGAGACTCGGTCATATGAGTGAAAAGGGGATGAAGGTTATGCACACAAAGAGAAAACTCCCAGGTTTACAATCAGTAGAGATTGATGTGTGTGAAGAATGCATACTTGGAAAGCAGAAGAGAGTTAGCTTTCAGGCAAGTAGCAGACCCCCCAGGAAGCAGAAGCTAGAGCTTGTTCACTCAGATGTTTGGGGACCAACAACCACCGCGTCGATTGGTGGGAAACACTACTTCGTGACTTTTATTGATGATCACTCTCGGAAAGTATGGGTCTACTTTCTGAAGAAAAAGTCAGAAGTGTTTGAGGCTTTCAGAAGATGGAAAGCCATGGTCGAGAATGAGACCGGTTTGAGGGTAAAGAAACTCAGAACAGACAATGGTGGTGAGTATGAAGACATCAGATTCAAGAAGTTCTGCTATGAGCACGGTATCAGAATGGAGAGGACCGTGCCCGGCACGCCTCAGCACAATGGTGTGGCTGAGCGCATGAATAGAACGTTGACAGAGAGAGCCAGAAGCATTCAGATGCAGTCAGGCCTTCCGAAGCAGTTCTGGGCAGAAGCAGTCAACACAGCAGCTTACTTGATCAACCGAGGTCCATCGGTTCCATTGGAGCACAGAATACCAGAAGAGGTATGGTGCGGAAAGGAGGTAACCCTCTCACATCTCAAAGTTTTCGGTTGTGTAGCTTATGTGCATATAAGTGATCAAGGCAGGAATGAGCCTGATCCCAAGTCCAAGAAATGCACATTCATCGGGTATGGTGAAGACGAGTTCGGCTACCGCATTTGGGACAACGAAAACAAGAAGGTGATCAGGTGCAGAGATGTGACATTCAACGAGAAGGTGATGTATAAGGACATGCACAAAACAGATGACGGTGACTCAGAGAGCGAGTCAACATTTGTAGATGCAGATGATGTTCCGGATAACCTCTCGGAAGAACCCAATGCAGAAGATCCTCAGCCAGAAGAGACTGTTGGACAGAATGGTGCGCAGAAGCCCGACGCACCAGCTCCGATGTTAAGGAGAAGTACTCGTCCTCCTGTGCCTAACAGCAGATACATGAATTATATGTTGCTGACAAATGGAGGAGAGTTTAAAAGCTTTGATGAAGCTTTTCAGAGTGGAGATGAGAGCAAGTGAGAGTTTGCTGCGAAAGAAGAGAAGAAATCTCTGATCTCCAACCAGACATGGGGACTAGCTGAGTTGCCCATGGAGAAGAAGGCACGTCACAACAAGTGGGTGTATCGAGTGAAGAAGGAACATGGTGGTTCCAGAAGATACAGAGCCCGACGAGTTGTCAAAGGATTTCAACAGATTATCCAAGGAAGAAAGGATCCAACGGATATGTTGACAAATGCAGCGACCTTTCAGAAACTGGAGTTGTGTGCAACTTCAGTTGGCCTTCATGCATAGATGATGAGGGCGGAGCCACACAGGAGAGAAGCTTGATGAGATAGCCTGATTGTCGTCGGTTTGGTCTCCAAGTGGGAGATTGTTAGGTTGGGGGTGGATACCAACCTCCAGCGGCGGAGAAGCTCCGACGAGCTCCAGGATGACGCAGGCGAGCTCCGGTTGTCCAGGCGACAGGCGGCGAGGTCCAGGCGACAGGCGAGCTCTGCGTTCGCACAGCCGAGCTAACCCCTCCCCCGTCGACCTAGGGTTTCCGCCGAAGCTTCCCCCTCTCCTCCGACTTTTTCTTCTGGCGGCTGCCCTAAAATCGCTGCTGCGATTTTGTTTCTTAATCCCCATCTCCAACAGTGATTGAAGGGGGATTTAAGAAGAGAGAGAGAGAGAAAACTAAAGAGGGTTTTAATTGTGGGGTATTTATTCTCAAGTGAGAATTGAAAGGGTTCATACCCTTTGATTATTAACACTGTAGCTACAGTGTTTATTTGAGAAATCTCAGTTTTGAGATCTGCTCCTAAATTGTAATTTCTTGTTTGATTAATAAGAAATTATCTGTGTGGCTCCCGAGGACGTAGGCAGTTGCCGAACCTCGTTAAATCTTGGTGTATTTTTTCTATACTGCGTTTCTGTTGCATTAGGGGTTTCAGCGTTAAATTCCCAACACATGTGTCTGCAATGAGCCCAATTAACGTTAATAATTAATTTACAGTTTCTTGCCTTGATTACTCTCGAGAACTCTGCCATCGCATTTCGTATGAATTTGTCCGCAGACTTGTTGCCAAGAATAGCTGCAGTAAGATCATTCTGTCCAATATCAACTGTATATAAGGCCTGCGGGAAGTATGCCTCCTTGGGCATCAAACCCTTGAAAACCCCTCCTGAATCATATACGCGTACAAAATTGTCATGCATTATCTTTTTCAATAGAAATTAGTAGACTGGCGAGTGCTATCACAGGTAACTTGCCTTGATTGTAGACTAACTGTGATCTCGATTTGAACTGCAAAAACTGTTTCAGCTGTGCATCCAAGAAGAAGGGACTGTAACCACCCTGCGATAGTGTCACATTTTGATCGATGATAGTTGATCCTACGGCAGCAAAGTTGGCTCCGTGGCTAAAATTAGCGCTTAAGGAATCTAGGTATGAACTGAGGTAAGGTAAACCCAAACTCTCCGCTGAGATTATAAGATCAAGATTAGCAAACTAACTAGTACAGGTTAACTTTTACTCTCTAAACTATTATTTTCTCGCTCTATTTCTTGTTAGCTGAGATGTCACGTAAGAATCTAATGACGACTGTATTATTTCCCCCCCTCTTTTAAACTTTTCCTAAACGTTAATTGAGGGTGAAAAAGTTCAACATCGTATAGGTTGATCTCACGTGTACTTCAACATAAGATCTAGAGAAGTAATATAGTCAGAGGCTTAGGAGGTGAGTTTTTGGTAAAATAGTTTATAACTTAAAAATAGCTACACTCTCGTAGTACAAGGAGTGTATTTGCGACTAACCCTATTATTTATAGGGTTAATTGCGGACAGATACCCTATACCATCGTCAAATTGAACTTACTATCCGTGTAGTTCTATTGTAGCAGATAAGCCCCATGATTGAATTTTTATTTTTTGACCCTTTCTGAGGGGTTCATCTACAATATATATTAATAGATTTTCACGGAGCGTACCTGTCTACAACAAGAGAACTATTTAAGGGAATCTAGAGAACTATGGGGGGTAGTATGTTCAATTTGGCGATAGTACGCAGAGGCCTATCCACAATTAACCCTTAATTATATATTGTTGGAATCAGTGGAGATGAGTCAGTGACTACCTATAAAATCAATGATGAGGCGACCGTCGGATCCTCTGCCTGCAGGCATGCCGAAGTAAGTCTCGCCATAAGGTGGAGGAAGAGGGCCGAAAGCGGCGGAGAACCCACCAGTGTCGGAGTTTGAGTCACCGAAATTGAACAAGGCAGGGATGTTACAGCATGAGGATGATGAGACCAACAGGAGCAACGATAGTAGTATAACAAGAGGAGGCAGAAACTTAAGGAACTTCATGATGCAGTAACTGTATCAAGAAAAAAGGGAATTAAGTAAATGATATATAATTGTTTCAGAAGCGGGTGAGTTGCGTAATCATATTTACTCAAAATGGGTCGGCTTTTGGTTGATCACATTTATTAATAACTGCAGCCTCATTTGAGTTTGAAAGCCCAACAAACAAAATATTGTTTATGACTTAATCCTTTTTAAAGGACATGTTGGTTATATTTCTTCTTCTCTAGTTTTAGAAGTAATCGTTGATGGTTTGGCGAGTACATCAATAGTCGCAGTGTCTTGGTTTACTGAGTCAGGACGTGTACATTTAACATTTGATGGAACTTTTGTTATTTCTTAATCTTAATTGCTTTCGATCAAAGTTGATCTTTTTGGTCTAAGTACTCTTGTCCCACCATCTAACCGAAGCATTTTAATCAACCCTGTAGAATTGGCAGAAAGTTCAGGTTTCAGCAGATTGGGTGGCGGTCGACCGGCGCGGTCGACCGCATTCGTGCACAAGGCTTACTGGGCTTCGGTGTTGGTGGCGGTCGACCGGCGCGGCGGTCGACCGCCGAAGCGGTTTTGGGCTGGGTCTGTTTTCCAGACCCGTTTCGTTTGGGTTTTCTATAAATACCCAAACTTGGTTTTAGGGTTTGTAAGCAAGGGGTTTTAGCAGCCATTGATGGTGAGTTCTTGGGCTTCTATTGTTGGAGCAATTGGGAGAGATTAAGAATGATTTGTGGAGGGTTTTGGTGAGAGATTTGTAACCCTAGTTGTATCCCCTTGATTTTAATAGTGAAAACTCCCCCTTGCTTGCCCCGTGGACGTAGGCATATCGCCGAACCACGTAAAACTGGTGTTTGATTGTTTGTGCTATTGATTTTGGTTGTGGTTTATCTTTTTCTCGACGATTGGTTTGGGTTCTCGAGGCACAACAAGTGGTATCAGAGCTCCGGGCAACGCTTGGTCTTTTTGGAGGAGTAGATCAGTTGGGAAGTTCATCTAGAGCTTCGATTGGTGATAAAGGTGGGATCTTTGTGGTAAAGTTTCTATCTTTTTCAAGTTGGATCTATTTCCTATTTGTTTCGCAATTGTTTATTGGGTGCTTTGAGATTATGGTCGGAAAAGATAAAAGTGGGGAGGGTTCTTCTAGTGTGAGGGCCGTCCAAAGTTTGAATATACATTCTATGAAAATAGATGTGGAAAAGTTCAACGGCACAAATAATTTTGGACTTTGGAGATTCGAAGTCATGGATGCGCTAAATGCGTAAAATTTGGAAGATACGTTGGAGTTGGACGGGAAACCAGACAACATGGATGAAAAGGTTTGGAATAAGATGAATAGAACGGCGTGTGGTGTGATTAGGTCTTGCCTTACCCAAGACCTTAAATATGATGTGATGAATGAAACTTCGGCAAAGAAGATTTGGGAGGTCCTAGAGGGCAAATATTTGACGAAGAGCGTCGAAAATCGTTTGCATTTGAAGAGGAGGCTTTATCGCTTCCAATTGAAGAAGGGGACATCCATTAGTGATCACATGAACCACTACACGAAGCTACTTGCAGATTTGGCGAACGTAGATGTCATTGTTGAAGATGAGGATAAAGCATTGTTGTTATTAAGTTCCTTGCCCGACAAGGAATATGAGACCTTCGTCCTCACCCTTATTAATGGGAAGGCATCTCTTTCGTATAGTGAGGTCACCACAGCCCTTGTGAACTATCAACTTCGAAAGAAGGACAAAGAGACTTCCATTGAGCCGGTTGCGGGGGCATTGGTTGCAAGAGCTAAAAGTCCAAACCGTGGTAGGAGATCGCAATCTAGAGGGGGGCATCCTGCAGTTGGTAGGAATCAGTGTGCCTTTTGTAGAGAGGATGGACATTGGAAAGCCGAATGCCCAAAATTGCAAGCTGTGAAGAATAAAGGGAAAGCTATTCAAGCTTCAGAGGTAAATGTTGCCAAGGCTAGTGGCGATGTTTCAGATTCAGATTCTTCAGGCTATTCGTGCCCAGCTCTTCCGTCAGTTGATGTTGCCGACTCCACCGAGTGGATGTTGGATTCTGGTGCTACTTACCACATATGCCCTAGAAGGGATTGGTTCTCCAGCTTTCAGGAGTTGGAAAGAGGGGATGCTGTTCTCATGGGTAATGATCACAGATGCCCTATTGTTCGGATTCAGATGAGTGATGGGATGATCCGGGAGTTGGCTGATGTGAGGTTCGTTCCTCAACTGAGGAAGAACATCATTTCACTTGGGGTATTGGAGGCAGCAGGCTATAGGGTGACTTTGGCGGATTCTCGCTTGAAGGTCACATCGGAGTCCATGATTGTGATGAAGGGAGTCAGGCGGAGTAACTTATATTATCTGCTTGGGAGCACGGTAGTTGATAGGGCGCTGACTACTTCTATGGCTAGACTATGGCATTGTTTGGTACTGGGATATATTATTGGTTATGCCGTGCACAGATTGTTGAGGAGTGCTATGACCTGCAGATTGAAGTCCTGTGAGCACACTGGGATGAGCGAGGAGACCGAGGTGGAGTTCAGCACTTCTATCCACCGATCGAGGGGTCTTATTGGAGGTGTTCAGTCAGGCATTGGGGGGCCTTCCATGTATGCATCAGTGGGAGGTAATGATTATTTTGTTTCCTATGTTGGGGATTGTACTAGGCATATTTGGGTTGCAACCAAGTCCCGTTGGTATAAAGCCCTAGTAGTCCGCAATAGTTGGAGGAGGTGTATGGGCAGAAAGGTTATTGTAGGCTGTCTAAAAATCATAATAGATAGCTGATCCCTATCAAACACCGATGATGGAAGTTACAATCTGACGTCTTCCAGAAGGCTACAATTTGAAGACTCTCACGTAGATCGCTGAAGGTTATAATCTGACGACCTTCACGACAACCGATGAGAGCTCTAGTTTAACAGCCTTCACAATCAACATCGAGAGTTACAATCTGACGACTCTTGCATATCAAAGAGCTAAAGTAAAGATTACAAAATGACGATCTTTGCAACGCTTCGACAGAAAGAGACTACAAATCAATGGTCTCTTCAAATCAAGACGTGGAAGTCCTCCCCGCATACCAGCATCAAGATGCGCCGTGTTCATAGTCACGAACGCAGCTCAAATACAGCTCCAAAAGTTGCAAACGCAGCTTAAATCGCCACTGGACGCAGCTCTATTCGCTGCCCGACGCAGCTCAACATCGCTGCACAACGCAGCTCAATATCGCTGCCCAACGCAGTTCAAATCACCGCCAGACGCAGCTTCCAAATCGCTGCAAACGCAGCTCAGACGTAGATTCCAAACGCTGCAAACGCAGCTTCTAATTGCTGCTTCCGAGCTTCCAGACGATGCGTTCAAGCCTCCAGACACTGCGTTTGAATGCAAAATTCATGTCAGAACGCGGGCCTGCGTTGACTCGTTCAAACACGAGTGAACGGTTCCAAAACCGTTTCCCACGATCTGAGGGGATCGCAATCCACTCAGGAGTGATTTGAGGGCGGTTACATCCGTCATTAGCCGCCACTTAGGAGCCAATTAAGGAGGTGGTTACATCCCTTAATCCCCTATAAATAACTAAGAAATCAACTTAGTTCGGGGCTGGATCTTTGGGTCGGTCTGTTGGAACTTCTTGGCAGCGAAAAGATGATCCTTCATCCTTCGGTTGGAGCTTTGGAGATCTGCAACAAGATCTTCTTCATCCTTGGCTTATAACCGACTTTCGGTTAAATCAACTCTTTCATAGAGTTTCAAACTCGTTCAGAGTTCTCCACAACGTCAAATCGTGAGGAGAAGATCGTTGTTCCAGTGAGCATAGATATTCGGATCGTCAACGAGAAGTAAACTCGACGCAAGCATTCGAGGGAGGCATCTCATCGCCACCGTGAAGAACCCAGAATTAAATAAAGGGGAGAATCCAGATCATTCTCTTCTCTTTTGTAATCAGGAAATCCAATTGTAACTGAGATTAAAGGAATACAAATCAATTTTCCTTCGTTTCTTTTTACTGCAAATTTTCCCACAAACAAAAGATGGCGACTCTGCTGGGGATGAGCTTCTCTGACGAAGAAGTGGTGGTGCAATCCGATGTTCATCTCACTGGAACAACCGTCGAAACTCTCGTGGTAGAGTTTGATCAAGCCAAGTTTGAGGAGACCCTCTCCTCTGGATCCCTTAGCCCCAAGGCTATGCGCAAGATCCACAAAGTCTTCAAAGAGACTAAAGCTCCAACTGCTCCAATTACAGCCGAACCGCCTAAGGAAGACTGCTCGGACAGCCCCTCCCCCGATGGAGTGGGCTTAGCTTCAGCCAAACCCATGCCAAGACGACGGGTATCGGGTCGAAAGATGCCCTTTGAGGCAACAAAGGCCTTGAAGCAGGCTAAGATGAATGCCGATCGACGGAGGAGGAGATCCTTACGACGAGCACATCTCCGAGAATGCCGATCCTCAAGTCAACACGAGCTTCGTGTTTGTGAGCCTAAACGCAACCATATGCTCTGCGTTTCTGCTTCAGAACGCAAGCCTCGCGTTCATGAGCCCAAACATAGGCTCTGTGTGAAGAAGACTGAGCGCAACCCTCAGGGACGCGTTCCACAAAATGAACGCAACCCTCAGGGGTGCGTTCCACAAAATAAACGCAACTCTCAAATCTGCGTTTCACCAGCAACACCTGGAGCTCAGGCATGCGTTCGGGTGATGAAATTCAATATGGAACCTGGCCTTGCTCAATAATCGACGACATCATCACAGGAAGAAGACTTTAGAGGTTGAATACCTTGGAGTCACTTCTAATATGGTTGGTAGAGGGAGATCATCAACCCTTAGTTCCGACGGGTCAGAGACAGATCATTCTCCAAGCGTCAGAGAAATCACTAACGAGTTTGAAGGAATCTACCAACGTACTCGGACTCGAACAGGAGCCATTCCTCCTATCAACTATCAGAGTTTAGCCAGAGGAACTAATTCCGATGACGAACACTCAGCCATTGCGGAGTCCCAATCATCAAGCTCTTTCGTTGGGCATGAGAGCTTCGCCCACATGGCAGAACATTCTGAAGACCTTTCAAAGAGACTTGATGAACAG